GTTCCCTAATTTTGTTCTCTGCATGTTGGAGTTTCGCTTCCGCTTCTTGCTTGCTGGATATTGCTTCTTCCAATTTCTGCGACAGTTCGACCAATCGCCTTTCTTCTTCCGCTCGTGATTTCTCGACCAACGTGTCGATCAGCGGTTGAACGTCGATTTGAAAGCGCTTGGTCGCGCTAAAATCCGGATCACAGCCTGAACGATGCAACACTATTTGCGACACGCATTCTTCTATCAATTTATAGTAGGCCGGCCTGTTGGAGAGAAAAAAAAAAGAAAAGAAAAGAAAAGAAAAGAAAAGCAAAGCAAAGCAAAGGAGAGGGAAGGAAAGAAGGAGAGAAAAACAAATGATATCGACGAGAAAATGCATGCAAAAAAAAGTCGTAGCTCTTCCCTACCTCACCAGAGCGTCATCCCTAACGAACAGAAGATGTTGAAGTATCGATAGAAAATATGGTTCCGCGGACGTTTCCATCACCATATTTTTAATTACTTCGAAACAGTCGTTCACGTCGTCCAATTCCAATCGAACGTGATCGAATCGTTGAACAAACTCCTCGTAATCTTCCTCTTTGTGTTCATTGAAAATTTTCAAATGTCTAGCCAGATCTTCGGACTCGTTTTTTTCCAATGTTTCTAAAATATCCGCCAGGCCGACCCGCATGATCTCGTTTCGCAAATGCAATCTGAAGTCCAATTCTTCGGCCGAAGAAATGATGGAATTGATGAGTTGAAGGCACTCCACCTAACATGAGAACGCGTGATCAATCATCATATACTAGATTTCAACAACTCTGAACAAGGGAGGAGAGAATGTGAGAAACGAAAGAGACAAGGTAAAAGGAACGTACCCTTAAGTTTTCGTTCTTTTTGTTCATAAGACCCTGTACAATCGGTAAAAATCTCTCCCTTCCTTTGAACTCGCCGTTCATGGTGATCGCGTCCAAAACTTTCTTGTGACTGTCGCTGGAAATAAGGCAAACTGCACCGAGCAGTTTCACGGTTTCGGACATGACGGATGGTTTGGTCGGCTCCAACGATCGAGCCACGATCGTGAGCGCTTCGTGATGAGCCAACATTTCCTTTATGCCAACGGTGTTGTTCATAATAGCCTTCAAACATCGGATGCATTCGTACTGTATTCGCTCGTACCGGTTGTCACTGTGTCACAGAATACAAACGTCATCACTTCAGTATCGTCAAATTTGTTACAATGAATAAAATAAAAAAAAAAAAAATTAAAAAAAAAA